CTGGGCTCCACGGCTCCCCCTTGCCAGCTGCCTTTGCCCCCTGGCCCTGTGAGTCCTGCCCCAGGTCCCACCTTTGCCCCCAGGCCTTGGCACAGCTGGGCCCCCACCTTCTCCCCTGGCCCATCTCTCTCGGTGCCCCCATTTACTGACTCCCCTTCTTCTCCTGCAGTAACCGAGCAGCTCTTCACCTCTACTCCAACACCCTCAACTTCCTGTGTGTGTGGGGAAGCGGGTGGGGCGGGGCAGGGTCTGCCTGGCCCCCTGCCCCCCATGGTAACCTGCTCCCCCCCCCCCTAGGATCAGTGAGGTGGAGCCCAAGTACTACGCCGACGGGGAGGACGCATACGCCATGAAACGGGACCTAACCCAGATGGCAGATGAGGTACAGACAGCGTGGCCTGCCAGACCTGCTGGTACCTGGGGGCCCCTGGGGAGCCACCTAGCCCTGCACCCCAACTGCACAGCCAGCAGCGACTTGCCCAGTGTGTCACCCTCATTCCCACCACTCACACTCTGGTTCCAGGCGTGGGGAAACTGAGGCACGCATAGGGAAACTGAGGCCCACCGTGTTCAGGCAAGTCCTCAGGCGCTTGGTGCTGGCCCCTGTCATTGGGAGCGGCCATGGCAGGGCGAGGGGGACGTACTAAGTGCAGCGCGGCCAGAGCGCATGCAGGGCTGGGAAGTGCTCCTGGCTGCTCCTGCCGGCCCAGCCCTCCGGCTGCCTGAGCCCCCCCTGCCAGTCGCGCCTGGGGAGGGGCCTGGGAGTGGGGCAGTGGGCCCAGACACGGGGATTGTGTTCTTCCCCTTGCTGGGGGCCGGCGGGGAGGAAGAGGAGAAGGAGAAGAAGGGTGAGGGGCCTTGCCCTCGGCGCCCCCGGCCCTGCCCCCAGCCGGCAGAGCAGAGGGGTTCAGTGGCTCCCAGAGGTGGGGTGATCCCAGGGTTCGGGGCAGGGTGGTTTCAGGTCCATCGCCTCAGCCCCAGCAGCCTCAGTCTGGCCGGTTCTCCCTGACTTAGGCAGCCCCCCGCTGGGCAGAGGCCAGTAGGGGTCACCCACAGCGACCAGCAAGGGGCTGAGACTGCGTCCCAGCGCAGGGCACCGGGTACAGAGCGGACAGCCCCCCCACGCCACGCCGCACAATGGGCCGTCCTGGGCACCAGCACCCCGGGAGTGGCCCTGGCTGCTTTCCCAGGGCCCAGAATGGCACCTGCCCCCCAAGGAGCCACCAGTGGGCTCCAGGGGGCCCGGCTGGGCTCCTCCCCATACTCAGTCAGGGCCACCCCAGGCAGCTTGTTCTTCCCACTGGGATGAGCCCTGGCCTGGTGCAGGCCCCAACTGGACCCCCCCAGTTCCCCAGGGCCAGAGCCCTCTCCCCTTTTCCTGGTGTCCTGAGAGCAGGACGTCTAGGCCAGGCCCCGCAGCCTGCATGGGCCCCATTCCAGTTACAGGGATCCCTCCTGTCCCCAGGGCTGCACCGCCCGCCCGGCCAGCCAGGTCCCTCCGCACTGCAGCTAGTTGTGGGTGCTGGGATTCAGGATCTCGGGGGTGAGCCCCCGGCTGGGCCATGGCCACGGGTCTGCCACCCGCAGCCTCTCTCACCTCTGCGCTGCTCCTAGGGCGTAGACGCGCAGGACCTGTGCTCTCCCCTCTCCCTGGCGGGACCCCCCCCAACCTGGCCAGTTCTTGGGGAACCTCACTCAGCCATCAGCCCACCTGCCTCTCGCTAATCCACCTTCCTCTGACCGCTCCATCCACAGGATGCATTGCATCCCACCGCTGCCACCATCTGTCCCGGGGCGGGGATGCTGGCGCTGCTCCATGTGCAGCCAGGCCGGACGATGCCTCTCTTGGAGCTGCAAGGCAGGGGCCTCCCGCAGCTTCAGCCTCCCTGGGTCGGACCTCGGAGCATCCCCATGCGCTGCCCGCACCGATGCCACGGGGCGGGCCCTCTTCCCCAAGGGGTCTGAGCTCAGCATCCAGCTGCCCCATCGACACCCGGGCTGGGCTCCTTGTTTCTCTTCCAGCCTTTCTCCTAATGCCTGTGCCCGGAGGGACTGGCTGCCATCCCCTCCTGGGGCTTGGGGGCCAGCAAGGCGGACCTCGGAGCATCCCCATGCGCTGCCCGCACCGATGCCACGGGGCGGGCCCTCTTCCCCAAGGGGTCTGAGCTCAGCATCCAGCTGCCCCATCGACACCCGGGCTGGGCTCCTTGTTTCTCTTCCAGCCTTTCTCCTAATGCCTGTGCCCGGAGGGACTGGCTGCCATCCCCTCCTGGGGCTTGGGGGCCAGCAAGGCCTATGTG